TCAGTGGTATTTACAACACTGTTCCAGAACAGTTCAACCCAAATATTCAGATGTGTGCAGCGCATTTTATAAAGGACTGTTTCCTGATCCTGGGATACTACAATGCCGGCTGTTCTGACTCACAGTCTGTAAGTATGTTTTCATATTTAAAAGATTTGCCACTGATGATTCAAACGCGACTTTTAAGCAGTGTAGAGTAGCGCTTGTTTGTCATTTCTTGTGGTCTCACAAATGCAGAAATGGTTTTATGTTTACGCAGCGCGATGCAACGCAACGTGTATAAACCGCATAAACATTTCATTACACCAAATAATGTTATTTTTAGCAGCATCATATGACCCCTTTAAATAAAATGAATTCCAATCATTTAGACAGCAGGCTATAACTTAACTTTTTTATTTATTTTTTTTGCCATTTTTGCAATTAAACCTATTTTCAAACAGTCTATATGTAATTTTATAATTCCATTTTATTTAATTAAGTGCAATTCTTAATTTGTATTGTTACAAACCCAACATACATCAAACACCTATAAAACCTTTAGCTTGACAACTGGTAAATTATTTTTTTAATAAATGTAATAATTTGAATATATATATATATATTTTTTTTTTATTTTATTTTTTTTTATTATTTTTTTTTTTTTTGTGTGTGTTTTATCATTTTATGATTCTAAATCTAATCAAATCTAATTTTAATAAATATCTAAAAAATATCTGACCCAAATACTTTTTAGGCACCTACAAATCTATATTTGTAGCAAAAACTTTGCGTTTTCATGTTGCACATTTACTGCAGTTTTACATACAATTAAATTCACTCTATCACAATGTTAATCATGTTCAGGTTCGATCGCACACATGCACATAGTCTGAGGTCAGTAACGTTACAGTTGTCGCAGTGCCAGCTGGAGTTCACATGCACAGCCAACGTGTCACTCATGCAGCGTTTCGGCTTTGAATTCAAAGTTGTTAAATGTGTTTAAATCACGCATTTATCAAATAAACTCTTGTACTGGTTCGTGCACACAGATAAGCCTGAGAGCCACCTTGCTGGTGAGGTCTAAATGATCCTCGGCTTCCCCGTTCTGGTTGTCGCCGGCGTCGCTGCCCTCAGCGCCGGGCGAATCCTCCGCGCAGTCCGGGTCAGGTGCGAACATACAAGCCGGCACCACCGACTCCACCGCCGGGCTTAAGCTGGTCTCCGTCGCCGCCATATGCTCCTCCAGCCTGCGTCTGGAAAAGAGACTACGAGTGAAGTTTTTTTTTCGCCTCTAAATCTAGGGTGACTTTAGTTTAAACTCACAACTTCGTCATACTTACCTGTCTTGCGTAGTTTACATGCAGTTTTTTGTATGAGGAAGATGGGGCCTCTGGGAGACACGCCTACTCGTGAATAATTAATTAATAGTTTACAGGCACGTCTGAAAAAGCCCTTCTGAACTTTATAGTTTTTTATCACTTTCTTTTAAAAACTATTTTGAAAATAGTTTCTGTCTTGAAATAAGATTTTTGATACATTAAACACAAACGAGCTCTGGAGAGAGACGCCTAGTCATGAATAATTAATTATGCAAATCTGTAAAAGTACTTCTAAATTTAAGATTTATTTATTTAGTTAGTTAGTTAGAATTTGATATGCTGATTTTAACTGAGCTCAACTCATTGCATGTAGACGCCAGAATCGGACATCCGTCAATACACGCCTATTTGGTAATAATTAATTTACATAATAATTCATTAAATAAAAGTGCCAGCAGGCAAGTCTGAACAAGTCTCTCTAGTAGCCATAAATTAACTTTTTTTTTTTAATGTAAATGTTATGTATGATGGCGATTTAACTGTGATATGTATCAATAGACATATAACTAAACAAGACAAGAGTTCAGAAAAATAAGCATGTTATAAGTAGCAAATTTATTATTTTCTTAATTTTGCATAAACACATTGTTATTGAAAAAGGTCTCTAGGAGATCCTGGAGAGTATGAACACAAAGTGGTAGTGTTGTGCCGTGCTGTCAAAGTATTTAGGCATACAATATAATATAATATAATATAATATAATAATGTTTGAAGTTAATTGAACTATTATTTTATCAACATATGTAAATAAATTATGCCTTAACCTTCAAACATATTTATATTAATATATAAGATAAAGTCTTCTGCACTGGAAGAATCTTGGTACATATAATACTTTATATTATATTTGACTTTTTATATTAATTAATTTATGAACTATTTTTATCAACTGTATAAACAATTTTATCAATATATATGTATATAATGTATATAACGTATATAAATGTAACATTAGTGTATTGAAAGTTACTGTATTGAAAGAAATTAATTTTATATTGTATTAAAATATTATTTTCTTTTGTTAGTTGTAAATAAATAATATAATACACTATAATATATTATTATATTTTACACACTTTTTATATATATATATATATATAT